TTTTATCCCGGAACCCTGGGATTTGACCACATTCACATGCGTCAACGGAGGGTGTTGATATGTATTACTATGTCGTGGATCTTTGGTTTTAGGTTTGGAAAAGGAGTTGGGAAATTGTAAAATGGGTTTTCTGGAGGGATTTTCGGTTTTTGTAAACACCTGAAAAACAATATATATTCAACCTGTAATCCAGTTTATAAAATATTTAGCCATGACTACCTATAACTCCCGATCATAAAAATAGATATTGGTTTATTCTCTACCAAAAATGACCCTCATTATTTATTAACAGCTTTTTACACCTGTTGCCCATAATCCTCACCTCGCTAAATTTCACATGCTTTTGCCGGTCAAAACAACTTTTTGACGAGTGGACATTTAAGAGCCCTAGTATTGGTGTTTGTCGATGAGAATGTTGTAATTACGGGTGCATCTTTTGCCCATCCATCATCACCCTCGCTTTTCCATTCAGCACTTGAAAAATGGCGGGCAGGAGGGGGTAAAATAGCGTTCCGTGGCAACATTTTGCGTTTCCGCTTGTTCAAAGATTGTTTTTACAATGCTGGCTAATCATTCTCTATTTATATATTACATTTCGAGACTAAAAACCCTTTCCAACTATTCTACGCTATGAAGAATAATTCTGCGGAGCCAGAGATAGCATTTCGTTTTGAATAAAGAATTTAAAACTTATTTACAATGCAGTTTTAGTTTTTTGCACAATTTTTTTCCTGACTACACTCTCCCAACATAATATCCCGTTCCAGAATATGGACCCCGATAAATATGAAATGCAAAGTGCTACCCAAATCGGCGATTTTCTCAGAGCCCAAATGGGAATGCGGACGCCCCTCAACCGGTGAGTGAACATTTTTTTATTGGTATTTACAAAAATTATGCCTACACCATTTCTTTGTTTAGCCGATAGTTTAAAGCAATCAATTCAATCTTGTTTTTGCTCTGGACTTTTGGATTCTCATATTTATTTTCAAGGAATCTTTACTTTTCCGATAAAGACTACAAACCCCTTATCCCAGCAGCCATTCGTCTCGGCCATCGCTTTCAAATCGAATTTTCTATGAGCGTTTCGCCGGAATTGGATATGTCGCGGGGTCTGGAAGGTAGATCTATGTGCGCTCCTCATATTTTAGCACTTTTCAGCTGATCGTTTCAGTTATGTTGCTAAACTTTTGTTCCTAGGGTCTTGCAGTGATCTTCCACCATTTTATCGTCAGCTTGAAGGTTTACATAGTTCTCGGTGTCCTGACTTTTACGTAATCCGGAATATCGGAATATGTCAGTCAATAAGAGGTATTATTTGTTCTCATATTAATGAGGGCATACTACCATTGGACTGTTTTTAGCAAGATTACAAAATGCGGTATTGTGCGAACAGTCTAAATATGGGATACAAAGTTAAAAGATAAGGAATTTTTATAAAAAATAATATAGTCTAATTTTACAGACTTTGAAGTTCCTTAGTAACACTCTAATGCGCCTGTGATCCGAATATCGGATAACACTCGTTTTACCCTTGTTACCCTCACAGTATCTTTAAGACAATAGTTTGTGTGGAAGTCCTCTTTTGGGTATATTCTAGAAAATCAGGTTGTACATAATTGTTTTATGCTAGACGATCAATTCATTTCAAATTACATTTAATTTAGTTTTACGGGAATTGGATGCCCCGGACATCCAGCGGAGCTGTGAAAGATTGGGGGGGGGGGGGGTTGTTGAGTGTTGGGGGGCTGTGAAGAGGGGCCAATCGGGGACCACCCATAAGCTTCGAAGGGGTGGTCGCGATACCTGCCTGGGAGGTCTTCGGCTTGCCGAAATTGGAGGTAGTTGCGCAAACGTCAGAAACTCAAAATCTTCGAATATGTATTGGATGGCTTTACGAAAATTCGGAAATAACGGATAGCTTAGATTATAGTGCAAAATCGCCAAAAATTATGAAAATATGCCGAAGCCGATGCCTTTTTAAGCACCATGAAAATTTGTTCCTCAAAAATCCCTGCTAGCCTACCCGTGCACCCCCCCCCCCCAAATTAATGTCGATCTTTGATTTGCAACCCAACACCACTGATTTATCGCAAAAACTGCGTAGCACATGGCGGCACTCGAGTCACCCGTCTCTTCCTCAAGGCCCTAAATGCAGCTCAATTTGCAGGATTTCCGGCCAGGATGCCCTGAAGGCCAGGCCGGAAACTGAGCACCCTTTGGCACCGAATTCCACCGTAATTGGCCCGGGGCAGCTGTATGTCCACTCCGGGGGTCGCGCCTCAAATTATATTTATTTTTCTGCTCTCGGCGAGGTTGGTGCGGCCAATCTTATTGAAGTTGCGCGCGGGCAATGAATTTGGGTTAGGAGCTGTTGCTGATAGAGGTGGGTTGTTTTCAGGAAATTGGAGGTTGTTATTAGAAATTTTGATGTGAGACCGGAATAAGATGCGTAAATATTTACGTGGAATTTATTATTATTATGATTTAATTAGTTTTTGATCTATATAAATATTCATTATTAACCTTTTACCTTAAATTTGGTGAGTTTGAATCAACGAAAAACTGGACGCTGTTTTTAAATTGCCAAAATAACTAACCACAGAAAAACCGTGACTTTCAAAACTTTTCTATTCCATTTTTTTACAAAGTCTTGATCGGAAATAGACTTGCGTAACGGAATTACCTTCGAAACGTTTAGCTTTATTTTTAATTTAACTTTTATTACGTTAGGCTTCAAGCGCTCCCCCCACTTTTCCGGGCTACCAGCCTGTGAGGTGTCAGTTTTCACTGGCGGATCCCCCTCAACAACAAGCCAAAGCCGAATTTTCAACTCCTACAACTTTATTTCGCTATTAAAGCCCAAAATATGCTGGGCCGGATCCATTCGTGTTTTCATTTAATTTGGCACTACATACGTGATAAGGGGATTCGCGAAAAAGGGTAGGTTGAGATGAAATTTAGTCCTGCAAAAGTATGCCTTTTAGCGCATAATGAATTTGTTTTAAAATAAAATAATGTGAGGAAATAGCTAAAATAAGGTGCGGCTCACCCATAAACCAACAGTTTTTTCGGGAAGCCAGGCGCAGGCCCGTGGGCCCTCCCATAACTCTGGTAATAAACGGCGCCCCAGGGCATGGGAGGATTTTCTCATATTGTTGTAACAACTTATCCTCACTGCTGGTTTTCGGTTTTAATTTTTGTAAGCCATATAATAAACTGCAGATTCTAATCAGGATGTAGCCTATTTTGCACCAAATTTCTTTCTAAACCTAAATCTGTCTTGTAAATGTTCGAATGCGCCAGATTACAAAAACTCCCAAGCTGTTTTTTTGGACAAGAAAATACGTGTATTTTTGGGTTATTTTTTCTGAGCGAAGGGATTAAGATGCGCGGCTCATTAGCTGCATTTCTTCATGTTCCACTGCGAGGCCATGGACCATTGAATGACCTGGGTCCTCGTTTTTTTTTCTTTTGCGAGGACCCCATCCTGGCACCTCGGTCTCCTCCAGAAGCACTCCATTTGAGGCCTTTCATTGCCGGCCTTAGAAATCATGTTCCCTGCCGCCACGCTGTGGGGCAACCCAACAATTTTCCTTTTTACGTCGGTTTCTTGCAGGGGTGGCGGTGCTACCTAGAATGTCGTTAAAATTCTAAGGAATTTTTAGATGAATTTGGGTTTTTTCTTTTGCGCTTGCTTTAAGTAATTTATGGCTTATATTGAAAATAGCTCATGTTTAGGCCCACGCTTTACGTCTGTGTATCTCGATTCCTTATCATTCCATCTAAATAAGCGCCCACTTAGCATATACCTAAACTTACGCGAAGTAGTACAGCGCAAAATTAGCATTTTCGTGACCTTAGCCTCATGCTCAACCCATCCAACGAAGGCCGACGTCTCCAACTCGACACCCATCCAATAATTCAGTGCTCAGTGGTCTCCGGGGGCCAATTGCTTCCGCTCTCTTGGGGAGCATGGCCCCCGCGCCGCCCATCCTCAGCACACCGGAAAACAATTCTTTTTAGAGATTTGTCTAAATCTCACGTTAATATCCTACTTTCCTGTGGAAATATTCATCATAGCGCCTCCAAAATCATGATATACCCTTAAACTGTAACGAAAAACGTAAAAAACAGAACTTTTCCCCGTTCCGCGATTATGTAGCTATCGTAATTTGTAGCGTCATCGTTATCTTTTCCTAAAAGCATTTTTTATTAAATTTATCTTTATTAAATTTCTATGTAAGGTTCTACACATTTCGAAATAATTGTTGCAAAAATCATTTGCCAAGCAAATATTTTCCAATTTTCCGACTCCATACGCTCGAAACTTTCTCCTTTGAAATAGCCAAATCCAATATCCCCAGTTTCCCGTAAAGAACCGCAAAAAGTAGCGTAGCGGAATAGGGTAAAAAAGCTAGCGCCCAGTGGCAATATCCTCTCGGGGTCGTGATGAGAGATGGGTTGGTGAGATGTCAGCTGGTCGAGATGGGGGAGGATGTGTTTCAACTCTTGGCTCTCCCAATATTCCTGCCTTGGCCCCATCTCTAAAACTGGCGCTCCTTCGCATTAGACGAACATTTGTCACCCAACAAACCCGGGGGCCAACCGGGCCGTTGGGTCGGCTCTTCGTTTTCCGGCTTTTTCCGGTTCCGTCATTGATTTCTGGACGATTTATGGCCATTGGGATGCGATTGGTCTTTGTCTGTTTGTTTTGAGTATTCGACACCTGTTTCGGGGGGTGTTGAAGAAACTCGTAAATTGCATAATCGAAGATTTTTATTTATATAATTTTGTATATTTTCTCTTTTCAATACCTCTGATTTTTCTGGGCCTTAAAATAGTTTTGGCAGTTTATAATCCTATGAAAAATTGATTTCTTAGATTAAGAGCGATATTTATGTATTATTAAAGATGATTTTTTTCAATTCCAAACTCCCAAATTCATCTCGAAACCGGATACTTTAGAAAATCCCCCTTTTTCAACTATCCATATTCCGATGTCTCACGTAAAGTAAGGAGGAGCAGATGAATAGATGTAGTTGTGGTTGATACTGTAGATATCTAGAAGTTACTCAAAGATGCAATCCACATTCTATTTCCAGTGGGACAATCGTTTCGGGGCAAAAGATGGCTTCGAATGAGAACAATGAAAAAGGCTCCGAAATTTCGATGCTCGTCGGCTTCTTCTTGATGAATGGCGTCTGTGTAGGTGGGTTTTTGAAAATAAAACTTTACAAAAATTTGGATTTACAGTATTCTTCCTTGTGTTCGGGCTGTGCGTCATATTTTCATGTATGCGCCGGCCACGAATGTTTCACGGCAAGAAGAGTACACCTCTGTTCGCACCGCCTTCCCCCTCACCAAAGCCTGAATCAAAATTTAAAAGTAAGTAAAGTAATATTAGTTATATAGAATACCAGTTTACCCATTAATACGCAAACACTACACTAATCTCTTTTCCGAATCCCTTTAATCTATAAAACTTCATCCATTTCGTTTTTCAGAACCCAGCCTCACCGGTAAGTTATCGCAAGCCAGCCAGCGAAAGCATACATTTAAATTGGCCGTTTCGGGTTTTCGAGTTGTCCCCTCTCCGAATGTCATATTTTTTACACGTAGTCCTGGGATTAATTTTATTTTTGAATGCGGGAATGCGTGTGGACGCCTTGCAATTCGTGGACAATAGGCTGCTTATTTAGGTCTGGTGTCGCGGGCGATAAAGAGCAAAGATTTCGGAAAGATGAAGACGGAAGTTGTTGAAGAATCGCCGCAACATATACCAGCATTTGGGAAATCGAACGGGTTAAATGGAGCTGTGCAAACAGGTCAGTTGGCAGCAAATTTTAAATTCGAGAATACATTTATTTCAACGTAAAAAATCTGGAAACGATTTTGCAGATCGACCAGCAAGTATGAGGGCACTGTTATCAGTGAGCGTAGAGCGAGAAGAGCCTCAAGTGGTAATTCACAGTCCAGTGGATCAGCTTGGTGACTCCTCACCTCAACTACGACCCCTACAACATTCTCAGAGTTATAGAGAAAAAGAAAGGCCTGGAAGAAAGGTGAGCAATTTAATTTTAACGAGATTATCCGTCCTTTTCTCCCTTAAATTTAGTTTTTTTGGTTTTTTTATGAATCCAGAGATCATATTTTACTGAATTAAGATGAAACTTTATTCTCTTACCTGATTTCCCACCGTTTCAAGGAATCCCCTTCTGCATCCGCAACACTAATTGAAGGCGATGAAGAGGATACGGTAATGTGTACACAAAATGTAATTATAGTAGTTCGTACACCCTGAGTTTACACCCCACCCCCCCCCCCATCCCATACTTCTACGAACTGCCGACTTCTAATGCGTTTATTTCCATTTCGTAACAGCGTGTAAATAGGATCGTAGAACTCCAAAAGCCGTCCAACTTTTCTTTTTCAGGAACGCCGCGCATCCTTCGTGCCAGTCCTGGAAAAAGAGCTCGCTGGGGTTGGTGAAGCCGCGCCAAGCTCGCTGATCCGCACAAATTTATTGGGCCCATTATCATTTGACGATTTGTATTACACTTCCTAATTTTGTTGCATATGTGATTGGGTTCCTATTTAATTTTCGCCTCCATCTGAACGTTCGGATACCATCATTAGCTGGTCAATGCCAATACGGGTTCACTCTGCATCAGAAATCCTTCAAATTATTCTGCAATAAACGTATGGATTTGATAGTTTATGCAACGGGGTGATTCAGCAGAAACGAAAGCTCATAAAAAATGGAAAGAGCTGTGATTTGTGGGTAAAATCATGCTAGGTGCTAGGCTACACGGCTGATTCATCAACGCCTGGTTTGGGGTGATTATTTTTGGAGGGTTTCTTGGTGATAGTGAAAGTTATGGTGGGGGATAAAACTAGGACGCATATAAGGGAGAAATCGGCGGTTTTGAGCTGTTAAAATTTTATAGCGCCTTGGCAAAAATTATTAAAAATTGTGGTCCTACGATTTAACAAAGCAAAAACTTAGCTGAAAACTTAAATGTTATAACTCTGTCAGTTTAGCGGCACGAATAACTGTTAGATTTACATTGTTGAGAATCTGTGACTTTCTGGGTATGTTAAGTTCACCTTAGTACCCTTTTCTACCCAATTCACGCTTAATTGTTTACAGCCCAAATCGCGGGCCAACGCTTGCTGGTCAAATATCGTAATTAGGTGGAAGCCGTACTGGTGCCTAGTTACCCGGCGCGCACCTGGTCCTAAACCTAGACCCCAACACCAGCACACCCTCTTTTGCATCATTTCTGAAATTTAAATACGTTCTGACTCCAAGCTACAAGCACTCGCCTTGCTTTTGTTTTCTTCAAAAAACGGGGGAGAAACCACAGCGAATTTTTAATTATCTTAGACTGCCTCGGAGAACAACATCATATTATGAAATGGGTTTTGAAGCCTAGACGCATTAGAATATTTCTATTATTTAAATCGCGGCCTAATGGTTTTTAGCAAGATTTTCTTATTCTTTTTATAATGTTGTTGTGGCCCTATTCCGATTTGGATTTATTTGTTCAGGTCAAATACTCCGTCTCGTGCCTCCCTCCACCAAACACATCACCTCCAGTCTGCAAAAAATCGACAATTTGCGTGGTCAGCCTATCGATGGCTATATTGGATGAACTCCACAATTTACGATAGTTTTCAAGGAGTAGATCAGGTCTGTTTAAATGTTATTATTTTAAGATTGTGGCTTTGCTTTCCTGGACGAATTTTGGATTAATTTATTGACTTTTCCCGTTACTTTCTAAATTTGTTTTTTTAACTAAAACTAGATATTAAATTTGAAGAAATGATTTTGAAATTCTCGTTGCAAAGTAGTTAAAATAAATATTTCCATTTTCAGGATCTACCACTCGGAATCCCGATTTTTCTCGCTCTTTCACTTCCAGCCGTCGACCTAATTCGATATATCATGTATTTATTAGATATCGTCATCTACGAGTAAATTTCTGAATTCTAACACTTTATTTCGCCAATTGCTTTTTCAAGCTACAACCAAAACCCGCACAATTATTATATTAGCACGTACTAGAAGCCGCCCGTTTTACCACAGTTCCATTGGGACAAATGTTGTTCGTTGGATCATTTGAAGGTAGGGAAGGGAATTTTGGAAGAATCGGAGTCCCGTGAGGGATTCTATATCTTTTACGCGGGCTGTATATTTCAGTAGTCGCTTCCGTGGTGCCTGAAAATTACAAAATCATGTAAAACTAGATTTTCTTGGCGTTTCTAGATTAAGCGTCCATTAACTCACAATGCAATTCCAATCCTCTTCCATATTGGGGAACAGGAAACTCAGCACCCTTGAGTTCTCCGGTTTTACACACTCTCTGGTGGCCATATTCCAATTGTCAGCAGGGCCACAAGAGAGGAGAATACGGTAGAAATATGCTGGATGGCTGGAGAATCCAAAGTCTTATTTTCATAAATTTCCATAAATACCTTCCATTGCCCCAGTCTGCCCCAGAAATTACCAATAGTGGTTCGGTGGCTAAATATTGTTGGCTCAGGATATCAATTTCCGTCCAGATATCTAAAAATAAGCAAAAAACTTTGGATAAATACCATTGAATCCATGTCCTCTCTCGACGGCAGTAGCCAGATAGTTTGAATTCGCCAGAGAAATGGAGAAACCATCGTGGGTGGGGCAGGTTTCGCCAAGATCTTCTGGAAAAATACAAAGAACCCGTTAAAAAAGCTTTTAATTTTACCTCTAACATAAGGGCAAGCGGCACTGGCTTTTGATCCGAAACCCATTTCAATGGTGGCGATGCTAATCAGCTCTGGAACATTGTCATTGTCACGTCATGATTGGCAAGATGTTAAGTTGTTTTGCTTACTCGTGCCATTGCGTCGTTCCAAAACCGTCATATTGCACGCCTCTTTCGCACAAAAATTTGGGCTAGCCACTTTTGATGAAGCCATATTCCGGGATGGCTGTGGGCACTGGAGTGATGGTTTCGGGCAATCACCGCAATTTGTGGCTGTTGGCGGTTGGAATGGGCGTTTAGGGCATTCACTAAAAATACAAAAAAATTCCGTTACTGTATTTCGGATAAAATATACTCTATATTGCTCGTTAAAGTAGATCACCAATTTTTGAAAGGAAATACAGTGCGTATGACTACTATATACCGATAAACACAGTCGTAAACTTACGGAATCTGATAGCTGCTCCCATAAAACGAATCCTGATCCCCCGATTTCTTGAGCACAGCATCAGCCAATTTACCGCGAGTCCCATTGTTCGGGCTGACCAATTGTTGTGGAATACCCAACAATTCTACTCAAACATGACATGAGATCTTCATGACACTGACCAGAAAACAGGTTGAAATACTCGACGTTCTGGAAGGGTTTGACCACTTTTCCCTTCTCAAACTCTGGCCCTCTAGCGAAAAAAACAGTCCGCATCGAGGGTTCGAGATAATCATAGCCGTGATCGCCAAACCGTTCTGTTTTATTGTCACTGAAAGATTATCGAATCGATATTTATTTCAAGCTAAGTTCTTACGTTCTGAATTCCGTCCCAATAGGTGCCTCTATTAAAATATCACCAGATCGTGGATGGTGAGCATAGTGGTACCTAAAAATAGCGGCTTTTGGCAAGATTTATGATTTCCTATACCTTGGCGGCATGGTAGTTTTGTTAAAAAGTAAATAATTTGTCCCATCATCGCATGGGAAGAGCTCACGAATATCGGATTGGGATGTAGCTAATATTGAGATAACAATTTACTAAGTAAGCATGATACTTACAGCTCGATTCCAGATGAAGTCTTGCCGATGGGCCACTGATAATTTTCACCTTTAGATCAGGTATCTTCGTGCGAATATTAATGTGGTTATAGAGGTCAGCCATTCCTATTTTTTTTTTGTTAGCTTGATTGAGGGTAGTAAATCAACTCACCATGATCTGACATTACAATCAAATTTAGGCAATCCAAAAGGCCACGGTCGTGAAGTTTATTAAAAAAATGGCCGAGCAGATTATCGATTTCAACGAGAGATCGGTTTTGCTAAAAAACCTCGACTGAAATAACAATACCAAGTTACCAAGGGATTGTCCACATGGCTCCAATGACCGGTGTCATCCGGCTCAGCCAGATATACCATAATTAGACCCGGACGTTGATCCTCTGGCAATGCTAGCCAGTTCACCACCTCAAATATTTCATAAAACTAAAATTCCGAGCGCCCTGACCTCGTCAAACTTCTCCGCGTCAGTTTTGTTGAAGCTGAACGGGACGTTAATGTCTGGTTTCAGATCTAAAAACCTTTTAGTTAAAGCTTAATCTGACAGAATGCAAACGAATTCCGATGACACTCCCGAAAATGGGATCCCCGAAAATTGGTTTCCCGAAACTCGGAGTCCCGAAAATCGGAGTCCCGAAAAATCTGAGTCCCGAAAATCTGAGTCGCGAAAAATCTGACTCCCGAAAATCGGAGTCCCGAAAACTCCGACTCCCGAAAATCTAAGTCCCGAAAATACCCGCAGTGATTTGGGTTTTTTTTGGGGCCGGAAGCCTAAAAACCAGTAGCCAAATTTTCGGGATTCAGATTTTCGGGAGTCAGTTTTTTCGGGACTCAGATTTTCGGGACTCAGATTTTTCGGGACTCAGATTTTTCGGGACTCCGATTTTCGGGGCTCCGAGTTTCGGGAAACCAATTTTCGGGAATCGGATTTTCGGAAGTATAAGCAAACCCCAATGCAAACTGTCGCAACTTACCATGCTCCACTCCACACCCCACCCACATCATGCAGGCTGTTTTTCGACCCGTGGTTCTTTTATATAGTGCCCAGATCTGAAAGGTTAAGCTCATAGTTTTACAGTTTCACAAATGCCTTACCGGATCGGCTCCATGAATTTGAGGGATTTTTGCAAATTTAGCGTCCAGGATCTCGGAGTGAATCGCCGGATCATAGACCTGAAATTAAATTTTAGAGATTTTAGACTTCCAGAAATTACCTGATTGTCGACCAAACCGTGTACACCTGGGTACACCCCAGTTGCAATAGTATAGTGATTTGGGAAGGTCTTCGTTGGGTATGATGGAATTACGTACTGAAAGTGCCTTATGAATTTATTGAATTCTTCCTCACCTCGGCTGACGACCCACATTCCTTGAAGTATTCGAGGTTCTTGATGATTTTCCGGTCTTCATAGGTTTTCGAAAATCCGTCAAGAGATACAACGACAAGTGGATGGTGGATTTGTTTGAAAAATGTTGATCTGTGTATCGGTAATTAAAACCTATTTAACTGGTTTACTTTTGGCATTGGTCCATTTTCCCGCAGGCGCCTCCCTCCTTATACCAGCGATATGGATCAGGGGTTGTGTAGCGCTCTTAAAAAATCGCCGGCTTTGTATCGCCGTAAATTAAAATTCATACCTTTACTAGGTGCAGGAACATATCTGCCTTGTTCCAAGATATTCGCAATCATCACCCGTTGCAAATCTTCTGGTGTCCCCATAGGCACGGCTTGCGGATCTTCTCGCATTGCCCGCTTATCCGTTGCGTTTGAGAGCTGTGTTGGATCATCTTTAGCTTCCAATTTTCCATACACAACTTTTACGGGTTTAATGACTGGTGGTAATCTAAATCAAAGGGCTAAAAAAATCTCTTCATCATCTGCATACCCATCCATTTCATCATATTCTTCTCGTGTCGGCCCGTCATTTTTGATATCATTATTTTCCTGAGCCGGGGATCGACTATGCACCAAAGCTTGATTAAAATTTTGCTAAAAACATCGCACATCAAAATAAATAGGCATTGTCGAACCCACCGAAAATTGCTTCGATTGTGCCATAAAGTTTTCATATTTGGAGTTGAGATTTTGGAAATTCGTGGCAAATACGATGCAAAATATTAAAACGGCGAATAGTAGAACGGCAATTAGAACGAGTAGAAAATACACCTAAATTGTTTTCAATAAAGCGAGGATGCTGGCACAGATACCTGACAAAACTTTATACGTAACCATGATCGCCGCGAGTCTTCTGGCGTCTGCTTTTCTGGATCATCATGAAAAAGTGTGAAAAAGGAAATTACCGATATTCAAATCCGCGACCTCATTATTCGCGGCCGGCGTATAAATGGGTGTTTTCGGGGGTGAGAGCATAGGGCTCTGAAAAACAAAAATCGGTGAGAAATGTGAAAAACGTCGAGTATACTCTCAAATGATCCTAAAAAAAACAATAAGGCTTGGCCGCTCAGCAATTTTATCTATTTTTACGTTCAACCGTACAGGGCTGAATTAATTTCGGGGAACGCGAACGGTATGGAAGTGTAAATAGGGCACATGCGTTTTTGGTTTTCTCAGTTGTGTCAAAAAGGGGTGGATGGGTCGTCGGGCAAATATTTGCAAAAAGACTGCTACTTTCAAAAGTTGGGAAACCTGGGATTATTGAGTTCAAGGGAGATCGGAGCTCGGAGAAAACTTTCGTTAAGTATCATAGACTTTTGCCACATCGGTATGCAAATTATTTAAAGGGGTATTACCAGTTAAGTGTTTAGGCAGTTTTGGCACTCGGTATATTTCAATATGGTAATCGTATACAAAGAGCTATACCCCCGTTCCCGACCCGCAGCTAATGTCGTGGAAGCCCTTTCGGGAAAGCAACCAAAAAAAAAGATGAAAAAGGGAAAGAAAGAATGACAAAGAGGGTTAGAGAGGGTGAGAGAAAAAAATATACAAAGGATAGGAGGGCATTGTGCCCCGAGGGACTGGGCGCCGTGACCGGCGAGTGACCATTGCCGAGCAACTGCACACATTTCCCCTGCCTGCACCCCCTAGCCGCCCCACGCAGTTTCGTTTCTATACATTTTCCGGGTGATTCGAAGGCTAAAATGCTATAGGATGATGTGGTAAAGGTCGAGGAGAACTTTAAAAGCTGTGGGGAATGGGTTACGCACCGAGAAGGTTTGAAAGGATCAGCACCGAGGGGGGCAAAAGCGCCTTGGCAAACCATGAGTTTTCAGATTCGTAAACAACTGAAAATCTGTCGAAGGCATCAGATTTGACAGGAAGCTATCTAACGTGCGAAAAAGTTTGGAATTACCAAAAATCCCCGGAACTTTCACCCCAGCCAATAGTCTCGGAACAAAAGATCATTATCTAGTAGATAGATACAACCTTCAAAACCTGTTTCGAACCGGAAAAAAAAGAACTTACCCTTTCATTTGGAGCCTCCATAGATCGATACTATTTGACAAAATTAATTCCGAACCGGTGTTTGGGAATTGTGAGCGGCGATCGTATTTAGTAGCGTATTGGCAGAAGGGCTTTTGGTGGTCAGTGTTGTCGTTGGCTAACTGGGGGAAGTTCCGCGCAGTTTTTGGAACAGCGGCATTTTGATAGGGCAGAGTCGTAAAATAAACACAAAGAGACGGGGAGGGGCTGTGGCCCCTGGGTGCGTCGTGGTGATAAGATTCCTGTTTTAGGTTATCGGAATTCGGCTCATCGGGTTTAATTGTTTTGAATGTCAGTACGAGACCGGAAGTGCATGATATAATATTTTATTTCATTTAATGTAAGTTAGTTTAGAAGCTTCCGGCCTTTGTGAGAGGAAACCCGCCTTTTGTAAGATGTGTTTTGCACTCAGATTAAAGTTGCCATGCTTTATTACATAAATGGGGACTGAACCCGAGTGATGCGGAAGGGGAGTATCATTCCCTATGAGGTTCGAATGACGTCTAGGCGACGGTGGAGGCAGCAGCGGCTGCTGTTGAGCCAATCGAATCGGTGGCTCCTGTAGCTCCAGTGACACCGGAGACATCCCAACCACAGATGATTTGAATAATGTAGTCAATGAGCATCTGCAGTTGTGCCCAGCAGTCGGCAGGGGTTGACTGCTGCTTGGCAACGGCGACGCCGGCGGTGAATTGAACCCAGTACTGTAATGTAGAGGTAAGTGATTGACTGGCTTTGATATTACGGTTTGGAACTCGGCATCATCCCAACATCCGTAGGTAACGGCCATGTATTGGCAGATGAAGACGCAGTAATCCTGAAAACCAAGATTAATGAATAATAGACTTAACGTTATACTTACCGCTCCTGGCTCAGATGGTTCAGTGCCAGCTTCTCCAGAGTCAGAAGATTCGTTTGAGTCGAGTCCAGCGCACTAAAACCCTTTTACTTACTAGTCCGTACCACGCACCTCGTTTCCGACCTCATTGATCATCGTAATGAACTTGGCGCTGCCCTCGAAGCTGCCCCAGTACATCATCGTGTAGACACAGGTATCCCAGGTGATGCTCAGGGAAGGATTATTGACAGGCGCGGGCTTCGGTGTGCAGTCGGGGTTCTAAGAGATACGGATCCAAATCGCGGAAGACTCGACCCACCTCAACAACGTAGATCATGTACTCAAGGCAGATGTAGATAGCATCATAGGCTTCCTCCTCCGTCAGCAGCTCCCATTGAGTGTAGCCGCAAAGCTGTAAAATTGTTGGGTAAGGCTGACCGAATCATAACTCACATCGAAGTACCAGGTCATGAAAGATTCGAACAGATCACAGCGGGCGTCGTCAGAGCAGAACCACGCGATGAATTCGTAGATTTGGTAGCATCCGGAAGTCGCAAAGGTTGGCTGAAAATACGATAACTGTTGGTTCAATATCGTTAATACCGCCGGTGGCTCGGTGGGCGTGCATCCGCAAGTCATGTAGCCCAGGAACTCCTCGATGAGAGCGATCCATTCAATGTCCCAGGCTGAATAACGTTTACTCCAGAGATCGCTTGACTTACTCCACTCGAAATCACCCCAGCATCCGCAGTCCCAATCCAGCTGGTACCAGAGAGCCTCGAACTGGAGGATCCATTCAGAGTACCACGCTGTCTCGTAGAAGCCGCATTCGATGGCGAGGATTTCAAAGAAGAAGAAGATACCGGTGGGGCCATCAAGCTGTATGCATACTTTAACAATCTCGCTTTCGAATTACCTCATCGCAATCAGCGGACAGATCTGTGGGGGCAACATCGCCTTCTTGGCTGCCATCATCAGTCTCGCACATCGTATTGGCTCCTTGGAGAAGAAGCTCCCAGTTTCCGTTGAGCCAGATTTCAATGCTGAAGTCGACGAAGAGCTCCCACGAGCACTAAAAAAGTCATTGCTTTGTGAATTCGATGTTTACTTCTGCGGTGCTTCCTGATGGTGCAACACTGGAATCGGTAACCGCATCGGTTGCGGCATCAGTGACGGCATCAGTGACAGCATCGGTCGAAGCTGCGCTAGTGGTTGCGCTCTCGCCACTTTCGCCGCTTCCTCCTCCACGGCATCGGCTGGTTTGCTCGACGAAGGCGGCAGCCTTTTCGGGTCCAGTGCAGTCGGGGTTTTCTTGCTAAAAGTATTGATGCTTTCGTGTTTAGGGGAGACGCTACCTTGAAGACTTCGCAGTATCCATTGAGCTGTGCGCGCCACTCGACATTCACATACAGCTGGGCGACAAAGTAGAAGTATTGCTGAAGCCAATTTAAGTTTGGCACACAAGTCCTTACGATGATGTATTTGCATTGATCCTCCGCGCTGAGCTCTCCACAAGACGAGGTCGTGGGAGAAATGCTGGATGGGACATCGGTGAAATCGGTGTAGTCGGTGTAATCGGTCGCGTAGTCAGTGCTTGGCTCCTCAGAGGGGAGGTCAGTGCTGGGCTCTTCGGAGGGGAAGTCAGTGCTCGATTCTTCCGAGGGAATGGCAGTTGGTCCCTAAAATGCGGTTTGTGGGGTGTTCGGGGCTGGCTACGGGTTGGAAGTCGCAGCAACATTGGAAGAAGCGTTGGACCCAGGTGATGCAGACACTCCATTCGATGTCTACCATTCCACTGCAGTAGGCCTCCCATTCGCTTTGGAACTAAATAAAGTGTGATCCACAATATTAAATATGCCTCACCTCAAGCCATTCCGGCCAGGCAGCTCCCGACATTCCGCACGAGTCAGCAATGGTGGTGAACATGTAGCTGTATTGTTCCACGGTGCCAGAGAAGGTCTTGGTCTCAGTGGCGACGGTCCCTCCGAGGACAACTTCGATGTAGTATCCGATGAACTGGAGGATTTCGACATTGGCTTCGGCGATCAATTGCTCGACGAGCTCAACGCAGGCATCGATCGAATAGCTGTCGACTTCAAAGCCGGAATCGGTGCATTCGGTCGAGTCGCCGTCTTGGACTTCACATGCCTGAAAAAGTGGGCTTGCAATGATCACTATAACTATTAGCTCACCCCCTTGATAATCTGGAGCCATTGAAGCTCGACAGGTCCGCTGGAGCAGGAGCTGATGTAGTAGTAGAAGGAGGCAGCGAAGCTAGCGCGGTACTCATAGGAGGAGAAGATGTATCCGATGATCTCGTAAAACTGGGTGACTCCAACGTTAGTTGAAAGCTCGACGGGTTCGGCCTAGGAAAGTGTATGTTGGCGCCGGAGGTTCAGCGGGTTACCGGGATCTGTTGTGGGTTCTCGCAATAGTAGGCAGTCAGTTGGGTGCACTGTTCGGTTTGCGATTGAATGTCAGCTGCGGTCATTCCGGTAGTGCTGAAGCTGTAGCAAGAGTAGAGGCTCTGCCAAGTCGAAGATTCCCAGGTCCAGCCACGGAGTTGAGCGAACGGGAACAACCAGGCACCCATCTAAACCGATTATTTTAACTTTATGGGTTTGACTCACGTAGGTATCGTTAGAAGAAGCGGTGGTCGGAGCGCTAGTGGGACCCTCATCAGACAAGGCAAGGCTGGCAAAACCACAATCGTCGTAGTACTTAAAACCATTATTAGTTGCCATTTAAATAATTTCATGCCTGTTGGATGATTGGCTGGTACGTGGCGTAGTCATTGTACAGGCCGTTGACGCAAGCCGTAAGACCAAAAATCCAATAGGAATACTGCTCAGTGTCAGCATCAGTTGGGGGTGTGGATGGGACGCTGGATGCCAATCCACCCTAAAAACTGTATTAGAACAGTAGCACCCAGTTTACCTGCTCGTACGATGTGAGCACGGTGATGAACTGCTGGGCGTACAGTGCATTATCGTAGTTGTACGGGTCGGGGACGTTGGCAGTGACCCAGTTTTGGAATTCCTGTAGAAACAGGGGTCAGAAATGCTGTATGGGTTACCGTAATGATAGCATAGTATGCGCTGCGATCCCAGAAGAGGGTGGCGACACGCTCTGTGAACGTCATGGCAAACGTCTCACAGCCGCACTGGAAAGTTAAATGAAAGGATTGTAGGTGGAATTAGACAGCGACTAGCAAAATGGACTTACTGATGCCCCGGCTGCCAAAAGGGTGGCGAAGCTGATCAAACTGAGGAGCTTCATTACCTGAAACCGTTCGGATTTTCAGTAAAAAAAAAGTTCTAGAACACGAGCTACTGTAGCACAGTACCCAAAGCCTCGCAGAGAAGAAGCCGATGATGCTCTAACCCCCGCAGGTCAGGCTTATATTCAGTCCATATCCAATAAAGTCGCTCGAGTCGGGATCCCACTGAGCAGCTAGCAAAAATCGGCTGTCCTGAATGGAGACCTCCGAGGTCACAAAGGCCGATCTGAAATCCACGACTTTTTCACACCCCAACAAATCAAAATTGCTGGCACCCGGCATGGCAAATATTGGAGTTGACTTTGAATTGTTGAATAATAGACGAGACTCCTCTCTCCGAGCGCCAGCTATTCGGGCGAGCAGTCTGATCACGTTGGAATTGTCGGCCGATGTCTGTTCAGCGAGAACGCCCACGTTATGATCAGTGGATCGGGGGCAGGGCGATCATCGGCACAGCCTTCTGGAAACTTCGCAATAGATTCGAAAAACGTTTTCTTTCGTAAAGTTCTTAGGCCGCACTAAGCTTTATCCCTCCCCTTCACTTTTGACTAGATGATATTGTTTGGTACCCAAGGTCGGTTTTGCATCCTTCAAACACTGCATTCGGGAAAATTTCTCAAATTTGCATCTAATAACCGGGCGTCAAAATCACCAAAATAGTTTGTCAATTTTTTAAAGATTGTCCCAGCACAAATTATCATGTTCCACCAATGAACTCACTTTTCATAACTCTGAAGCTCCAATACCACCTAAAAACGGCTTCCTGTAAGGCCACCCGTCGCCAAGTCATTTTGCTCCTTCACTTACCAGCCCAACCAACCACTCTGCTAGTGGTCGCGAATTCAATCAACGAGATTCCTAGGGCCATTTCAGCCACGAAAAACAACTTCTTCTTGAGGGTCGGGCCCCGGTGCCGGCTGGTCCGTGGCGGCCAATTTCGTCGATTGAGGCCGGACCGACGAAGGCGTCCCTTTTTTGGGTGGCCTTACTTGCGGGCCATTCTGTTCACTTGGGTCCTAATTAAGGGGCCCAGTCCAGGTGGTCGGGAAGAGGGGGGAGTTCGGAAGAGATTTTCGGGCATGGGCTTTGGCAGAATTTTGCAGGATTTAGAAAACGTCTATTGCTATCTGTATCGATTGTTGTGATTGAAATGCCTGGCCTGGATTGCCGGAGGGGGCATTTGATTTGATGTCAACAGATGAGTCATCCGTTATTGAAATGTGTCGCTCACATTTTCCAGGGCATTCCCCCTCACAAGCTCCGGTTCTGAGAGCCGCGTCAGCAGCACTTAGCTATGAGTTTGAAGACCACATTCATCTTATCGCAATTCCTTAAATCCCAATCTTCTATATTGCAACCTTTTCGCTTAAGGCCATTTGAAGAAGAAGGCGTCCCCAGCCTCGTTTCCTCATTGCCTCTTTTCTTCCCGGCTATTCCCGAGACGCACAATGGGCCGTCAAGGCCAACTTTTCGCTTTCTTCGGCCCATTGAGTTCGTTTTTTGCTGTTATTTCGGAAATTTGGGTGAAGTTTTGTGTTCTGAAGGCATAACAGGAACCTAAAAGCGTCTTTGAAAAATTTACGGTTAGAAGTCGACTGCCATTAAATCTGTAATACTGGATTTCAGGAGGTGCAATATTACCTTTCGGAAAGAATTCCTTTCTATAGAAGTTCACCATGATTTTTAAAAGGCGTGAATGCAGCCTAATTAATTCTCGAACACTCGTAGGCGAGCATTTTTCGATCCTAGACCGACGCCCACACACTAGGTCTAGAAAAACAAATAATTGCATCCGTCCGAAAGGGGTTTTCTGTTTTGAGATTATTAGGCGAGCGTCGGCTACTAGTCGTCTGGTGTTGCCATTCGGAATATTCTCATGGAAGATTATTTTTCAGATTGGAACATTCTAGAACGTCTGATGATTTTAAGGGAAACACGTAGGTTCTTAGAAAGTGTTGATTCATCAAAACGGTTCATTTATCAAATTCATTCCTCCACCCCTCCATTTTTAACATTTAAATCTTCACAAAAACTGTTATTGTCCTCAGAGGTCAGTTTTTTGATCACCAAGCACCCCCTGGTCAGCTGAGGAGGTGCTTTCTCAAAAAACATTTCGCGGAGAAATAATCCTTAAGACGCATCATTTGACCGTGGGGGAAACCTAAAGAGGGTCGAGTGGGCCCTTTGCCGATGTGGACACAGTTCACGGTTCGTCGGGGCCCAAAAGCCGATTACCGACTTGCGGCGTTCGGCTCAAGCAAAAAAAACTGCGGGAGGAGTGGGGAATAAATAGAAATTGGCCAGCCAAACGGATCGAGAGTGGTCGTTGGGGGTTAGTTTAGCGGGTGGTTTTCTCCAGTCAGAACGTTTTGCTACACTTTTCACTAGTTTGACACAATTAATGTTGCTGCATACTGTTATGGTTTTAAGGATTATTGAAAGATCGATTTTAAGCTGCAATTCCTCATTAGTGGCCTCTATATTTCAAACTTCTCTTGCTATAGAAAATTTTCAGGTGAAGATGTGCATCGAGCATCCGAAGACAGGCGCTTTGGAAGGGTGAGTATTTTAATACGTATTTTATTAGTCTTTCTATTTGTATAGAGGTCTTTTTGTCCATTCTTTGCATATCCAGCCCCGTTAGGCCTTAGAGTTCCGGTTACCTATAGATCAAAATCTCGCCCTCCTGCCCGGAGGTATCCCGCTGATAACCGGGTCATCGCCCCGTAAACACAACGTTCTTTGTGCGCCTATGCATCCTAGCCAGATCTTGCGCATAAATCAGACATGCAGGCCGTTATTTCTTTAAAACTAGTCGAAAATGGGAATATTTGAATCTCGATTTCCATATTATGTCAAGAAAAACCCGGCCCTTTCTCCCTTCAACTTCCCCTTAAAACGCCTCAACCTTTCCCCTCCAAACCCCTGGCACATCTCCCAGTTTTTGATCGCCCATCCCGATTGGAAGTGCAGCGGAATTGAAAAGTGTAGGTGTTGATCGATTGACGTGTGCTTCAGCCAGTTCGAGTCCTTCTCGTCGCTTGCTGACCGATGTTTGTCTAGGCACCCTCACCATCCAATGTCTTACGCCTTTATGTCCACCGCCTCCGACGGTGCGACACGTTGCACGGCGCTTCAGCATTGCATAGATGTACTTAGGATTTTTTTGGGGTTAATTTGAGGCGAAAATGCTGAATTGCTCATTAATCTACTGTTTTCTAGTTTTTGGTGCAGAATTTTTGAAGGCACTGTGTGTCAAAACTTTAATATACCTTCTTCACTCATTAGCCTACATCCTTTCCCACACCTAGCCAAGCTAGACCCTCAATTTTTGTCTGTCTATAGTATCGAGTGGGCGATTTGTTGACGCTTTTTGTCGCGCCGTCCGTACCAACGAGCCGGGGCGGAACTAATTGGCCATCCACCTGGGTTCCACGAGTTTTTCGGGGCGATCGCGGCTTTTTGTGGGTGTGTGGCGATCGATCCCGATACATGGGTACGGGCTGAGTGAGGATAGTCTTGTTTTCGGAGGGTAGAGTTGTTCCGTGAATTTTGGGGCGAGTGTTGGCCTTTGTAGAACATCTGTTTCCGGTTTGGTGCTCTTAACACCTGCCCCAGCGGGTATTGTCTGCCGGAATTTCCTTGAGAGCGTTGGTTGCTTATAATACGTGTATAATCACACAACTAGGTTTCGACAGGATGTGTCAAGCATTATTTTTAATTAGATATTTAATCTCGATTTGTATTTGTAGACGGTAAAAATCTAACCGTTTTTAGTTCCACACGTTTTTTCAAAAAAATTCCGAAGCTTGAGCAGCTGCTTAATAATTTAAAAAATCTAATGCGTTTCTCTTCTCATTTTTTTAGATTTTTCGAATGGTGTAAAAATAACTATATTCCGAGTTTCCACCAGGCCGCTAGAGCTATGTGCTTTTTCTCAGTATACTGCGGATCTTATGCTTAATTTTATATTTGTTTTTAACGTTAATTTCAAACCATTTTCACGCCAGCCTCAAATTCCTTTGCAACCTGTGCAAACAAAGAAATTTCGGCCCGGGCCTGATGCTCATGTCGCCCCCCAAAAAATGGTGATTCAAGGGGGGTTCGGGGAGCAGACGCGGCAGGGATGAATCAATGACCCTCCTTCGTGTCTCTTTATCGCTGATTTCCATCCGAATCGGTGGCTCGTACACCCATGACTGCCCCACCTGCCTCAAAAAAAATGCCCGGAAATGCCCTTCCCTGAAAACATCAGCTTTTTGGAACGTATTAAAGGGACCAGGAAGGTCCATGTCATTTAGCATAAAATGAATTTTATTAGCTCTTCCTTGCCCTAGCCGACTTTCTCTTCCTTTTCTTCCATAGCGTTGCCGGTTGTCTTTTTGCTAATTTTAACTACATAGGATTTTCTTGTCCCTTTAAACCTCTAAAATATACGTTTCAGATCCGGAATGGGATTCGACACCTTCCTCCTCAAGCGAACTTTGGAACAATTTGTAGATGATATCGGTAGGTGGTACTTTACCTTGAAAGTGAACTTGAAAAAGAGTAAATTTAACCAACTCTTTATAGCCGCAAATATTATAATGTTTTTTTCAGCTGAGGAATCGAAAGAACTAATTATCGAGCGTCCCCGGTTTGCATACGCTGTTCTTGTTGTGGCCGATGCGACTAGCGGTGAATTTTGCCAGGTATGATTTTTTTTTATAAAATCAAATAAAGCTTTTTCTAGGCTTCTTGCATCCGTCAGCTTGATGTAGATCTTCAAGAAGCCGTCACCGTCAGGTAATTAAATATGCGAATGGCTTGAGGTCCGCTCAGGGAGCCATACTTTGATGATGAAATTGCTCGCGCTCTTCGGCGACTAGAGGAGAGTAACCACCTTTTGGAGGATGAGGTGGGTCAACCATGCAGAAATTAACATAAGTATTTGTTAGTCTGCTCCGCAAGCAGACACCCCTCCTATGAGCCCCCAGCTGACCGAGCTTGACGCTTCGAAGACGATGTTGCAGCATTCTCCCATTAGGGTAACGCATTATTGACACATAATTAATTGCCAGAATTAATAATTATATTACGAAAACGATCGTTTTTAGCCCCAAATTGCTGAGCGCAAAGTGACAATGCTGTAAATCAACGACCGAATCTGCGCTACACTCCGAATCCCCTATTCCAGTTTTACGAATTCCTGAGACAAATTTCGATCTCATTCCAGAACATTTGACTCAATACGATTGTCCTCATTAGGATTAAATCTCCTTTTTATTATAACTGTTCAATCACCTCAAAAAAAGTTTTAAAGTATATTGTTCCTTTGTCTTTGAATCCCATATGTACGAATCGTGTGTATTTTAGCTCGCCCCATAATGAATTCCGGTTTATACATTTGCCGCAATTTTGCAAATGAAGACGTCATTGACCTGGTCGATGGACGGGGTGACGATCCAGTTGCCGAACGCCGATTGTGGGTCATCTATGCAATCGCTGTCAATGTTTACCTATATTTTAAAGTATGTATATGTTTTTCGGCGGCCGACTTACCGAAATGTAATAGCTTCGGTCGATTGGCAACGTGTAGGGCTGATAGTCGAATGGCGTGCTGTCGCTCCATACGTAAGCACTGAAATTGATTATGTTTTTGTATTTTCAGAATAAATATAATTGTCTAGAGAATTGCTATTCGCAGAAAAATGTTGTTAAAGCCGCTGGAAAAGCAAGTATTGTTAGCCGAAACAGTTTTTGCTGTTTTTTTGAGCGCCCTTAATCTGAAAATAAATCCATCTGAATTTTTGTCAAAGATGCTTTCTAATTTAGTATTTTTAAAGCATTTTCATGTCCTGTAAATAAGCTTAAAAGTCCCCACCCAGCGTTCACAAATCCACCAATCCACATCCGGTAACGCTGGTTTAATTTGCTGCAAAACAAGCAACCTCCATCAATTTGGGCAAGTCCTTAAAAATAAGCTTTACAAAGTCTAAGCTAAATTTTAGCTACCGTTCACAAAATCGGCCTCAGCTTTTGAATGGATCGAAGCTAGATGGGCGTTTTGACCAACACAATACCGCTCGGCCGAGAGCCATGATTGCATCCGACCTTTCTAAATGCAAACATAATAGCGTTAAAGTAGATTGATTTACAAAATAACACGACTGTGTGACGTCATAGTAGATCCATCCGGAAGGGCAGGTCGGCCCTGAGATTCTTTTTGACAACGTATGTAAAAACCAACCAGCCACTGCCGCTTGATTTTGGCAGGCACAGCTTCCAGAGTATACAGTGTAGATGCAACAAAAAAGTGCTATGATAGTCTTGAGCATTTTTAAGGGGCGAACGGATGTTTGGTTGAATGCGGGACTGCAGGCGAATCCCGTGGGTAGTTCTATCACTTCCGATTTTGCTCTTATCACCGCACATCTGCCATCAAAAATGCCTGGCCAGTCGGGGGGTTGGTGGGGTCATGGACCAAAAGTTTTGAAAATCACGGATGATTAGATGACGCGACTTGGTATGGGCATGGTGTTAACTTGAGCGCTTGATAAATTAGTGGATAGACTCACCCCCTCCCAGACCGTCGTTCCCAAAATTTTTCGACATTTCCGCTATTTTGTCGAGAGTTTTGCGCCGTCATTCGATAGAGCATCAAAAATATCATAAGGGTTTTAATTACAGCACAAAATAGAGTAATATAAAAAACGATAGCGAAAAATTTTTGGGAACTTCCGGCTGCGGGGCTAACTTAAAGTTTTACCGAATTAGTTGCTACCTTTCCTTAAAATGCCGTTTTCATCTCTAGCTTTCTGTAAAATCTTTATTTTCAAAAATACGCTCAGTCCCTAATAGACATACCAGCTTTCCATTTTGCTTAAAAATATTACGTTGCAATTACCGTATCCAATGAACCAACAAAAAAATTTATTCCTGAGATTATCGATTACACGCATAAGAGGGATTGATTACAAGTATTTTGGTTGTTTTACTCCGTATCTTTAGAGCTGCTTGACGAACTGGCTGTACTCCTCGTGGTAGATGACCCAGTTGCCGTTGTACTTGATCCAGATGGCGCGGTAGGGGCCCGTCATTTCGGTTTTGGCTGAAAATGAGTCGGATAAGATCAGGCTTAATCTAGAATGCTGTTATTATAAATGCTGAATCTAACTACTTACCAGTATTGATCTTCCACTGGTTTTCGTACATCAAGACGTCAGAAGCACCCGAGTAGCTTTCCTGAATAAATCAAATTAAAGATTGCTATATACTGAATTAACTTTGAAGGAAGTGATTTTAATTGCTTGTGGAAAAACTTTTTTTATTCACATACCTTGACAAAGGTGGTCTTCACATTGCCGATACGCGAGCGAGAGTCCTCGATTTGAGCGAAGATGTCTAAAAATTGTTATTTTACTTTTTTCATAAGATTATTTTGGGTTATAATATATTATTGATATTTTAAGAAAATTTATATGGTAAAATGCTTTAATATATTTGATCTAATTTTCTCAAAATCTACAAACGATAAAAATGTTGGAACATGACCTCTTTTTAGGTTATAAGCTATTTAATTTAGTAACTATTCTTTTCGAAGTGCCTTTCAAATAATTTAAGCTTCAATTACTATTACGATGCTTATGATGAAGTAAAAAAACCGACTCTTGGGTTGGAAGAAGGGCGTCACTTGTCCATCAATGATGAGCACGGCATTTGGATGGTAGAGCGCTTCCAGTTTGTCGTATTGTTTCTCGTAGATGTAGTCTTGGTATTTCTACAAATTCCTATTTGCTTTTCCTACTTTTAGTGGCTCAGACAAAGGCTTACTTAAATAACTTTAATGTTTTTTATTTTCCTCACCTGAACCAACGGTCCCAGGATGGCGGCCGGGGATTCTTGGCAGTTAGCCAAGACGGCGAGAGCAGTTGCGATGCAGAGAAGACGACACATTTCCGGGCGTTCTGAGCGGATAGAAGGAACGTGGGAGGTCGAGGAGGGCAAATGGAAGAATGGCTGACCACCCACCACGCGGCTATTAATATAGGGGGTTGGTTCACCCAGCCTAGCCCTAGGGGTCAGCGCGTACTTATCTGCCAAATGGGCGTACCCTAGGGTCACAAACACTGTAATCTAGGGGTGGGTGTCACGAGGGCAAAAGGCCACCATGGTGTTCGGTAAGTACTACAGGGGCAGATGGCCAGATGGCTGATCGAGCCTTCGAAGCAGCAGAAGGATAATAGAGGTCTATGGACTAATTGTGGGAGCAGAATGGTCGGCACTGCCCCTTAAAATTTGAATCGTAAATGATGGGAACGAAAAAGAAAGGGTGCTGGACTGTCAGCAGGGCAAGGATTTTAAGTAAGGGAACAGCTAAATTTTGTTTTTTTCCGTCGAAGCCTACCTGTTAATAAATTCTGTATTTTATAAAGATTTTCGTAATTTTAGTTTTTGATTGCCAAAAAGATTCCAAAAAATTTTTAGACGTTTTAGAACTCCATAACTCACGCTTTCTCTCTCTCTCTACCACTTTGTCTCTCTCTCTCTCGCTCTCGCTTTTTCTATGCCGATCAAACAAATTTAACGTCCAATCCCAACAGTTTCCAACCTTATCCAGGTAAACAAATGCTTAACCGGAAGAACACCCTCGAGTACCTCCGTCAAAACTGTAAAGCTGTCAAAGATCAAGTGGCAACCCTATGTGCAAAGTGGCATCACGTGCCATCTGTGATTTATGCGGCCCCGACAATATTTTAACTAAGCCCAAAATCTGTTTATTAGTGTTATCATATTTCAGAGCCAATTCGAAGAACCATTGATGATTCAGCGGCGTACTTTTCCAGCCCACGCTCCGTTCAAACGCAACAAAAAGCGTAAAAACGGCCACAGTTTGAACGGTTTTTGTTGCGGAACGGGAGGGCAGGCCGAGGACAAAATCAACACACTGCCCACTTTTCCAAGAGTTGCGTTTTTTGTTGACAAAATGGTTAGGGCCTTTCTGAGCGACGGGCAGAAAAATACCGTAATTTCTGTGCGCATAAAAAGGAGGTGGGTTTGTATAAAAGGGAAGAGATCGTGGTTGCTGATCATCTGGAGTTTTCTCTACGGACAAATTTCACTACAACACCTGTCCAATAAGCTACAGTAAGTTTAAATATCTATAGAAAGTATCTTATTTGCGGAAGAATAGCACATTTTTTAGAAATGAATCCTAGCATTTGCTTCGTTGCACTAATTGGAGTCATCGCAGCTTCAACCGATTCACCGGCCACTATCTTGGCCCCTCTTGTTCAGGTTTTTAAGCATCAATGAAAAATAGCCACTATTCATTGCAGAAATACCAAGACCTAATTTACGCCGAACAATACGATGAACTCGAAGATCTTTACCACCCCAACGCCATTCTTGTCGTCAAGGGCCAACCCAATCCATTCTACACTCCAGAAAGTATGCAAAATACCTTGAAAAGTTGATTTGAGTTTCTAGAGATCTTCAAGGAAATCCAGGAAGCCCGCGCCAAGGTTGGAAACGCCAAGACTGACATTATCAAGGTTAGAAAAAATAATTACCGTAGACTCAAGTATAATTTAGGAAACCTACACTGGTGCCGGTGATATCTTGATGTACGAAAATCTTTGGAGGATCAATGCTGGTAGGTTTGGATGAACTGTCTTCTCTTGAGGCTCAGAGATCTCTTGGAAATCAACCCAAAATTCCAGGAGGACACGAACTGAGCGGCCCCTACCGTTCTATATGGGTGAAATTCGAGGGCCGTTGGGTAATCTACCACGAGCAATACTCGCAGTCCAAGCGCTATCACAAGAACCACACCTTCTAAATATTTGAGTGAACCACCCCTTAACCTTATGCATTGAATTGTATGTTTTGATGTTTTTAATAAAGGTTCTCACGATCAAAATACTCAACCAGACACGTTCATAGTTCTGTGATGCCATATCTAAAAAACTAAAAATTTTTTAAAAGACCTTTGAACTCATCTCTCCGCCAAAATATTGCCAAACTTTCGGCAATACGGCAGACTATCAGCACTTATGACATTCATCCTATTTCTTTGAAAGCCATCAGGTAGAGGGCAAACATTAGCTGCTCCGGCTATCAGGGAAGCTCGCGCAAATAGTGGCGGTTGAACGTTTGGAGGTCATGACGTACTTATCATTCGCCATAAGAAGCTTACGGCAAATAACGTCGCAATTAAAAAGGTCTAAAAAGGCAAGAATCTTACAATATATTTGAGCAAGTCGTGTTTTTGTTTGTCAGTGTTCACTTGTATACGAATTCGGTAAGTCCGCAACCATCGGGTCTGGGGTACGATTTTCGATACTGTACTGTTAGCGGGGGACGAAAGTTCTTTAGCAGGGGCAAGTAATTTTTCTTTTCCGTTTATGTCTACCGGTTAATAATAAATGGTGCATTTTGTCCTGTTTTTCTCATAGGCTTGAGTCCTGTAAATTTACAAAAAATATTTTAAACATTTTTGAAAATCCGAAAATTTGTAAAAGTGTTTAAATTTCTATAAAAATGGTTTCTAGTTTGCGATGGCCCAAACAAGATCACCGGGTGAATCAGAATCCCCTGGTGGCCCCCCCCTGCTATCAGTACAGTGCCAGTTTCTGAACCATGTTAAAAAACAATATCAATTCCAACTATGGTCCCCGACCGAAATGTTCTTTAAAACCCAAGACCATGCCTTCAGTTTTTTGGTCGTGTTGCGCCGGCGGAGAAGAAGAAAAGTGGGGTGGGGGAGAATAGGAGGGATCGAGTCTCGGGTCTGCATAATGACTTCAGGGTCTGGTTAATTAGTAGACCAGAGCCATTCGGTGAAGAGGAGGTGGGGGTCCTGGCTGGAAAAGGGTAGAGATGAAAGGGGGGGGGGCATAGGTTGGGCCATTTTCGGGTGGTTGGGGGGAAGTCGTTTTCAGTGGTATGTGGGGCTAGGATGAATTGACGATCCGTACGACATCCGCTCATTTTGCTGGCGACCCGCCAATCGGTGTACGTGTGTACGTGTTGGTCTCGGTGTGTGTGTGTGCTAATTTATATTCTCGTTAAAATTATGCGTGTTGGGCTGGAGGGGTGGTTGGTCGAGTGGGGTTTTTTCGTGTTGTTGGCCAAGGTGTCGAGGGAAATATTTTTTACTTTTTTTAGATACTTTTCAGCACCACGAGAATTGATGCTTTCTTTACATTCTGGATTAAATTCTAGCCTTTTTAGATTAGTGGAAATTTTATAGGAGGGGTTGTATGCTATCTAAAATGTTTTGTAGATCTCTGTCGAAATTCAGAATGCCGAAATTTCGAATTTCGAAATAATAGACTGTCGAAACTTTTCATGAGCCACCGGGAATTAAAAGAATACCTTACGAAAAATTTACGAATTTTTTGACATTGCTGTTAGGAAATCTCCACATTATGAAATCTCAAGATTATGCAATCTCACTCCTATAAAATATAAACCTCGAGTCGAGTCCTTCATCGGAAGCGTCCCACCTCTAAAAAGCCACCCGCTCTGTACCCAAACCCCCGCCTTCTGGTGATCTAGAATATTTAACGCACGTTACCATGGATTCTGTGTTAAGTCCCCCAGCACGGGTTTCCTTTTTTGGGAACAACGTCTTCATATTTGCTTAGGATGCCGGTTTCCCAGCGACCCGCGTACATCCATTTTGGCCGTTCTGCTACTTTGTGGGTCGAGGTCTCGACTTTGTTTCAGGTTTTGTTGAAAAGCTATAGTTACTGGTAAAATAATAGTTGTTTCCACAACTTGAAGCATCCTTAAAATTTCCTTGAAGGATGCGCCAGGTATGCGGCATTTTTCTATTGGTAGCTGGGGCCGCAAGCTTTTCTAGATTTTGATTTTCGGAAAGCCGAGAAATGGTGTATGCAAATCACGCGACTAAGTAAACCTTAGCCATCCCTTTAAATACACTTTGTTTCCCCATATTTCCCACTCATCTGCCAACCACATTTTACACTTTGGTTTTTCAATTGCGCTTTTTCCAGTTCCAATTACGACTCCTTACTAACAAAAACCGGCGTGCCTAATTGCTCATTGGTATTGACAGAGTTGTGTTTGTGAAGGTGGAAAGGGTGGACGTGACTGGATTGTGTGCATGTGCCGCATTTGGCATCTGAAGTAGAGCCTAATGAATGAGAAGTGGACTGCCCTCTGGGGCCGTCTCGTCAAAAACAACGTCTTCTTCTTGTGCGTGGGGCGGGGACGGCTTTACTCCCCTCACATCTTGACCTTTACAGCCAAAATATGTTTTTGTTTCGTTTTAGTGACCGTGACGGTAATTACGGTGTAAATGATTGTTAAATGTTAGTGGCGGTAATTTTTGTCTAGTTCTAGTACTAGTAATTTTTGTCTCCATCTTCTCGTAATGTTAGTTTCTTTAGGCTCATAGGTTTTCGCGAGTTACATATGATTTCATAGGTTTAATTTTTTCGAAAAATCTTAAAAATCCGAGTTTAGAAATTTGAATTTTATATTTCTGCGTCGTCCAATACGATTTCTATACTTAGGTCTTGTTCTGGAATTTTGCATAGTTTTAAGCAATTTACAGTAGTGGAATTTAGATAAAATGATGCAAAAGTTATCGATTTTTCTCTCTAATCTCGGTATGGCGGTCTGACGGTATCGTTAAAATGTCGCTATCAACTATAATAATTTTGCTGTGGTCTCCGTCTGTCTGTCGGTCTGAAGCCGAATTCAACTCGAAGGGGAAAGGAGCTAGAGCTTAGCTCTCTTCGGATTCGGATAGAGCGCCATCAAAAACCCCCAAACTGATAAAAAAATTATGAAAAACTTTTAGTTTAAATTATTAAAATTAACTTTGAAAGTTTTTTCCTTAGTAAAAAGGGTGGGGGACGGAGGTTGGCATGATTTTCGCATAGTGAGCCAGGTGGCGCGCGTTTCGTGGATGAAAATTTTCACGGAGGATTTCATTTCTTTTTCTCTCATTCCATCCGGTCGGTCGTTATTTTTGTTTTTTTAAGGGGATTTCGGCTAGGGGAGGTATCTAAAGCCATCAGGGAGGTATATAGGTAGTTTTTGAAGGGGATTTCAGCCATGAGGGGTATCTGAAGCCATCAGGAAGGTATTTAGGTAGTTTTTGAAGGGGATTTCAGCCATGGGGGGTATCTGAAGCCATCAGGAAGGTATTTAGGTAGTTTTTGAAGGGGATTTCAGTCATGGGGGGTATCTGAAGCCATCAGAAAGGTATTTAGGTAGTTAGTAGAGGTAGGTGGATAGGTAGGTGTATTACATCAAGGGTAACCCGAAGGCCAGATGGTTACAGTCGCGAAGCGACTGGAACCATCTGGTATTCTAGGATTTTCTTTTATCCATGCTTCACCCCATGCTCTCAGCAAAATTTCCAATATCCTCTCCCCCTAGTATTCCGATCCCTTCCAACACCTAACATCAACCATTCCCTATTCTGGCCCTCGGTCCACCAGAACAAAGCGCGACCCCCCCCCGCTACGTGGACATTCACGATTCTGGGATGAAAAAGGGGAACGCAGAGAAAGGCAGGAAAGCGCAAGGGTCAGTTATTTTCTAGGATGGTCTCCTTTTGAAAGGGCACACCCCCACAAACAACGGCTTCACCATGGCCAGGTGGCTCTTCTTTTTTGCGTTGCGAGTAATTAGTTTCGGCTTCCTGCACGTCATTCTGGTTTGTTGGTTAGTCAGAGGCTTTCGTGTTTTATTCCCTAGCTTTCCCCGTTTTGGGCGGTCGTTGCTCTAACGTAAAATATCTAGCATATGTTGATTGTTGTAAAAATAACGCTAAGAATTGGCTAGACTTTACTTTAGCCCCCCAGCCCGAGAGTGCCAAAATTTTTCGATTTTCACTATTTTATCGGGATTTTCGCTAACTATAAGCCTTTCGATAGAACAACAAAAAATATTCCAGCAGTTTTAATTGCAGCTCAAAAGCATGTAAACTAAACAAGTTATGGCTAAAAATAGTTGGGAGCTTCCGGCTGGGGGGGGGGGTATAGTAAAGCTTTACTCAGGATTTTTTGGCTGACACTTTCCCTTTAATCTGGCCATAAATCAGACGATGCAATTCCAAAACCTCGTTTTTATCGAATTCCCAACCTTATTTTATATGAAAGCTGTCCAGGGTAGAGTTTTGGAAAGAAAACGAGAGACTCTTCCAATATTTATGCGCACGCCACACCGTTTTTCCGCTTGCCTCCCCCCCCTGCTGGCTTTGAGTCCCGCCCTGGCCTCCGAAGTACTTCCGTCTACTTTCTCAACCGCTCTCAGTCTGCTTGTTATTATATACTCATGTTTTTTTACAATTTGTTTTTAAGGATGTCGTCAAACAGCATTGAAATGAGCGATTTCAATCGTGGCAAACCACCATTACCACCCGCTTCAGTTGGGCTGTTGAGACAACGCTCCCTTTTTGCCCAGGTTAGTTTGAATTTCACTTTTATGATCTACTAATGAAAAACAATTTCGCCTCCACCTAAACAAGATGTAGAAAACATTTGAAAGACAAAATGCCGAGCAAATTGATCTTGTGGCTGTGTCCCTGACAGAACATTGGCAGGAAGAATTCCCTAGTGGCCATCGGGAGGGGAGGGGAAATGGAAAAAGGAAAGAAAAGGAAAGGAGCGATGCTAGGAACAGTGGAGGGCCATTGCTTTTTGAGACGAAGACTACACGGCAATACCCTCGCTCTGTTTGGGTCTCACAAAACGACACTTCGCGTTTTTTAAAGGCTTAGCGTGTCGGTAGGGCTCGAATTTCGTTCTTTACTGTGAGGCCTTGAAGGTGTTTCTGTGTTAAATTGTGTTTTTATTATGTTAATTGATTGGAAGGCAAGCAAAGCCATAAATACCGTATTATTTCTGATAGAAGCTCAGAGGTCCGATTTTGCTATTTTTCTGGGAGTTGGATTTTAATAGCGGGGAGTTTCGATTAGGGGGCGTCTTACATTTTTGATCGACCAAAATGCCGAAAAGTCGGGGTCCAAATTTCTTTCGATTTTTGCTCAGTTTTTGTCAGGTTCTTACCACTTTAAATCGCTCAAAATGCTGTATCTTAAATACGGTGTTTACCACAGAACCCTAGACCAAATTATACTCCCACGTCACCTAGCCCATCCCAAAAATAGCTGCTTTATAAATTTTTCAATGGGAACGCATGCGAAGTTTGGAACATTGCGACATGGAACAGTTGTCAAATTGGGGCCGAACGACGGGAGGGTAAAAGTCGCGGCGGGGGCCCTAAAAACAAGGTTTATAGGGGGGAGGTTGGGCCACACGGGCCGCCTTGCGGCTATTTGTTGCCTTTTTATTAGATTCGCGATCGCGACATGAGGGGGCAGGCTGCTCTCAAAAGCCGTGTCTAGATTTTGCTTTTGAGATAGCGTTAAATCTGGAAGTTTTGATTATCGTAGATATGTTTTAAATGCCTTACGTATGCAAAATATAGCCATTGTTATGGATATTCCGGTGCTTTAAAGGGACGGTGCCACCAACAATTTTTCGTTAATAGATCTAGACATACGCTTTTATTGGTGACCTTTATGATTTGGCGATGGCGAAGCGGCGGGTTACGCTTTCCTTTTGTTACATTTAAATTTTCGAATTGATCCTTAGAAAATGAGCAGGGAAATGTAGGTTGACATTCTCCCCCAGCCGGATGTTCCCTAAAGTTTTACGTTATAACGTTATTATATGGCCTTATTTTAAGCTGTAATTAAAACTCTCAGTATATTTTTTATGCGCTATCAAACGGTGGAGCAAAAATCCCGACAAAACAGGAAAATTTCGAAACATTTTGGCGCCTTCGGGCTGGGGGGGGATGAAGTAAAGTGTAGCCGAAATAGAAGTCTAGCGAGTCTTTCTCTCAATTTTTAACCTTTAAAGGCACCGTGCCAACCGGAATTCACAACCAACCCAAGAAAACGTACCATAGTATCATTTCGGAATTCTCCAAGTCTCCTCCCCCCCTAACCGACTTCCCAAAAACAAAAACATCTGGTCTCCATCGTCCCTCCACCACCCCGTTGGACGGGGTGATCCAGATTTATTCTGCCCCGAAAAATGGCCCACACGGGTCTCCCCTCAAAAGAAAAGCCGGAACAGGTGGATGGAGGGAGGTCTCCCCTCCTTGGGGGTGTCGCACTCAAATATTCCGACAATTTTCGTTTCCCCCTGCCCCTCCTCGTCTTCCCCGTCGAATAACAGAAGAGCCGGCGCGATTTCCCAGCCAGGCCATGTTACCAATGTTATTATTATTTCAGTTGTTTCTCACTTTTTTCCTTAGCGGGGGTAAGGGTTGTATGTCGAAATACTCGGAACTATCCATTTCGCGGTGGTGGTTTAGGAGATATTTTGCGAAATTGGGGCGGAGCGGGTTATTGTAGTATTTTTGTGACGGAAATTCATAGTCAAGTAGTATTATCTAACCCTTAAAAGGCACTTGAAGCGCTAGCATAACGAAATTTTGCCGTTTTAAACAAAGAATAACCTCCCACTTCTTACAATCGGCCAGTAGAGATTGAAAGATACTTTGATTCTTTCGATATCCCCTTGTTTCCGGTGCCGTTATAGCATATTTAAAGACACGTAGGCAAAATTCATAAATTTTTGAGCCGTATTTGAAATCAAAAACGTAATTTTTGAAAGAAAAAACCGTATGCTGATCTCTCTGGAACACTTTAAAATTGATGATAATTGGTTTGGGGTGAATGAAATACCCAATTCCATCGAGAGCATCCGTTGACGGATCGGTGGCCGCCCTTAGAATGCTGATATTTTGGGCATAAATGGATGTTCTATCATATTATTGAAAGCATACCCGGAAGGGCTCCATATTTGCTCCCATCCCAGGGTAATATCGTTGGTGTAGGGTAATGAGCCCTCTTCTTTAGGACCCTATATGGATATTCGTTTTGTTGTGTTGGGGGGTCTCTGGGCCCGGCGTCCTTTCCGGGTTTCGGGTCTCTGCTTCTGCTTTTTCCTGGATTCGTCTCCTTTTCAATCCGAGTCCTTTATCGTCTAGCTTCTCTCTGTCGGTGTGATCTAGCGTTTTTGGGGCCCTAATCCGCGAAAGTCCCCGGCGGCCACCCGGTTGGCCACAACGTCGACCCCCCTTTGCACCCTCCCGCCATCCAGAATATCGAGGTTCTTTTTTCCTTTTCGGGTACTTTTTCTGACTTACTGGGTGCGTCCTCTTTTTATGGATTCCCAATATCCTCGGCTAAATCTCAGGCCTTTAAGATGGGCTTATCTTTGAGCAAAATCAGGAAGTTCTCCCCTATATTTCTTCTCAAGTTTGAACCCGAACTTCTAAATGCTATTTGCGGAATTTTTATGGCTTTGGATCGTTAGCGGAGGACTCTAACTTCCTTTATTTGGTTAGTCTATCTAGTAAGAAAAATACATTTTTCATACGATATTTCGAATAAAAAATGTTTCGAACATGTTTCTTATATTCTTTACGAAGAATTCTGCACTTTTCGAAATTTAATAAGGTAAATCTAATAATTACTGTTTTTGATCTAAAAATACCAAATCCCAACGAAGTAGCTTTTCATATTATGGATCGTCTAGGAAAACATATAGAAAAGTTTTTGCTCCCCCCTAGCGAAGCAACATTTTCTTCTTTGTTCTTTACGTTCATTTCCGTTCTTTGCTCTCATCACTTCATCTCCCAAATTTCAAGCCTAAACCATGGACGTCGTGCACGGAATGTTCCGCGCATTGCGTACGCGCAAGATGGCCCGCGAACAGTACTCCTTCGAACTTCTCAAATCGAACTCGGCCCACGACTTCCGCCTGGAAGAGCACCAACTACCCCGCTTCTCTTCACAGCACGAGAATTTGGCATCAAATCGGGGAGTCACAGAGTCGGCTGGTTATGGGAGTATGAGGGCTTCGACTCGGCCATCAACCACAGTCTCATCATCATCACCAAGGGCTAGACCTGTGCATAGGTCTGCTACGGAGGGGCCGCAAAGGAATCGGCTTACCGTACGACCGCCTTCAGTTAGACAGGTTTGAAAATGCAATGGATTTTTAGAAAGGGTCGGGATTTGGCATGGCGTTTTGGGTACGTTAAGATTTGTCAAATTAAGTTTTGGGGAAAATTCTATTCGTTTGGTTCAAAATTTGTGTAGCTCAACTGTGAAATACGTGTAGATTAGGCATTTTAAAAGTCGGGAAGGAATAAAAATTATTTCTATACAAGAAATGTATGCAAATTCGGTTGAAAAAAGATGGGGTTTTTTGGATTTTGATTCACCTTTTAGAACACGAACAAAATCTAATACATTGCAATAATCGTAGAATTTGCATCATACCACGCATTTTAAACCATAAAAGCATATATACAGCATCTACCAAAACCGGAAACAACCCGTTTGATGTTTGAGCCACTCACCCAATGCCACACTTCTACTTTGACAACGTTCGTCTCCAATGTTCCTTCCATTCTTGCTCACCCCCCATCTTTTGCCATGCATTCACGACTACGGTGTCTTTTAGAGCACCAAATAGCGTCTTTTAGCGCACGTCCCAAAAGGCAAAAATGCCTGCCCCCCATTCTATTTACAAATTCACTCATTCATTGCCCATTTCCCGTCGAGCCCTCCCTCGGCAGCCAGAATTGCCGCTCAAAAAATGGGCGCAAATTGGCCATTGTCGGGTGCTTGGCCAGGGGGGAGCAAAGTTCCCGAGGGCCGAGTTGGACGCATTTTGTTCATCGCGCACCTAACATATTTCCCGCCCAGGGGGGGTAGACTCTATTCGATTAAAATTCGAGGACCTAGCGAGTTTTTTGCGGGCTATTTGCCGGAAGGGATGAAGGTGGTTGTTTGAACATTCGCGCGAAGTAGATGCTTATGCTTATGCGCAGGTCTTGGCTTAGGCTTAGCTTTGAGCTTAGCTTAGGCTTAGATTTACCTTTAAGCTTAAGCTTAGGCTGGGCTTGGCTTGAGCTAAGGCTCAGGCTTACAACGTCCACTTGTTAGGCTTAGGTTTTGGCTTACAAGGAGTCGTTTTTAGGTGATATTGGAGTTTTTGAACGAAACCTAGCTGGTTCGATAGAGAAAAAAATTCTGAACAAGATGTCGGTTTCCAAATCTGCTAACCGTGTATTGTATTCAATCCTACTATATATAAAAAAATAGTGTCTGTGTGTGTGTGTGTGTGTGTGTGTATATTTGCATGCACTTCCGTTTGGATGTTCCGCTCCTACAGCCTCGGGAAAGGGTTTTTTGGGCAGGGAAGAAACGACAGTAGGTTTAGAATGGTCCGGAATCGACTGCACACACTAAAATTTTGAAAATTGTGGTTTTCGCTATTAAAATAGGTTTTTGTAAACCCTGTTTGTTAGGGGAAATTAGCATGCGCCGGAAGTAGGAAGAGCCTATATAAAGGGACAGAGGAGCGGTTTTTCACTTTTTCTTGCTAGAATTCAGGAAGAAACATGCAAATTAAATAAAAACTTTCACCGGTCCTCAATGGGGCCAGGGTTGAAAAGCCGCGAAGCGGTTTTTCAACCCTGGTAAAAATTAATTTTAATGAAAAAATTCCTGGACGTCAGGCTGCGACCCAGGGATCAGGCCCGGGACATAGCCCACAGCGCGAACCAGCATCCGCATGAGATCGTGGGCCTAGTGGATAGTGTCGGCGCCTATCAAACTTTTGCAAAATTATGCCCAGGGTTCGGAACTTTTTGCGATTTATTGTTTTGCTTTTTGGTTTTTCATGCCATTGAAATCGAATTTGGCATTATCGAGCAAAAAGCAAAAGAGTTTTACTAGCGAGGAGTCGAACCCGCTGGCAAAGCAAAACTTTAGAAGCAAGCGCACTACCAATAGGCCAGCTGGTCATGGCTGGAGAGAGCCTAAGGGGGCTATGTTGCGCGCCCCAGGCGCCGAATCTGTGGATCAGGCGGAAAATGATGGTTAGATTAATGATTTTCAAATTAATTTTTATTGAATACAATACACGGTTAGCAGATTTGGAAACGACTCTTGTTCAGATTTTTTCTCTATCGAACTAGCTAGGTCTCGTTCATAAACTCCAATATCACCTAAAAACGACTCCTTGTTAGACTTAGGCGTAAACGTGGTCATACTTTATTACCTTACCTTAGAAAAGGCTTGTAAGGAACATAATAAGCCTAATAACCAGCAGCTTAAACATATAATATGCAGCAAAATATTAACGCCTTACACGTTCCAATTTTGATATAATTTGAAAATAAAATCTTCAAACTTCTATAACCTAAAGATTTGATTTTTAAGGTTTGAATCTCAAACCCTATATAAATTCGAAGAATTTCGTCCAACGATGAAACCCCTTCCCTACCACCTTAGCCCTCAAATATCCCCTTTCGTTCAAGCGCCAGCAAAAATATTTGCCGCCAGAGGGCAAACGGCTTATTTCCGGAGCTCGAACTTTTTTTTGCATTGAATCAAAACAAGTATTGCGGACCGAAAAATGCGATTTTTAGCAAAATATATTTATTCAGGAGTTGTATCTGAAAATAGATACCGGATACGTAAATAGCAGGCGCCTACTTGAAGCTTGATCCAAGAAATAGGGGGTATCAATTAGCTAGAGAAGCACCCACAATTTCGGGTTTCCTTCTGACGCAGTAGATGCTGTTCGGAGCCTATTTTTAATCCTCCGACCCGCTAAATTCGGAGCGTAATTAGGTGGGAACGGAAAAAGAGTTTCTTTAGCGGTGAGCACTTCATGCGCCATGGGCCTCCTCGTATTTTCTTGTGTGGCCCCTCTTTTGCGAGCTGTCAACCTCTCCTCGCTCCAATTACCGGCACGTCATCCATCTCCGCCCGCACTTGACGGACGACCCATTTTTTACAAGAATTTTGCGCCCCGTGTAATTTAACTGGGATCTCAGGATTTTGCGATTGCGATTTTTGCTGTCCGAATTTTTGTTGCAAGAACCCTTCCCTTCCTTCCAAGCGGATTTTGGGTGAAACCAATTTGGTTTTAGGTTTTTGGGTTTTAAATTTAGGGTGTGGTGGTTGCTCGTAATTTTTAACGGGAAAATTCTAAAATCTAAAATGGAAAAAACCATAGGTCCATCAAAAATCACAGCGTGGTGTTGGGTCCCAAAATTAGAAATGAAATTTAAAAGCAAATTTGGTTTTTTTATTGGATTTTTGTGAAGTGGTCTTAGGTAAGATCCTAACAATAATTTAAGCGCCAAATAAAAACAATATTTGCCTCAGAACTTAAAATATTATTTAATTAGCTTTGATTAATACGAGTTTTTTAGAAATCGGAGGAGACTATCGACTACACTGGTTGCTCCTCATCGATGAGCAGCGTTTCGGTGTTGCTCGGATTCGTGCATTCTGACGGTGTTTGCGCTCCATCCTGCTCCGGCTTCAAGTTTGTTTTTCAATTTCTTTGGCCCTTGGAAAATTTTATAAAATCAGTTTCCATTTTACTGCCTATTTTCCCTAATACCAAAGACTAAATCAGGAAATTCTCTTTGTTTTTTGTTCCATCCCTTCCCAGACGCGCCGATTACCTTCAAGCCTGGAATCCCCCTTTTTGCTTGTTTTCCCCGGGGATAACAAGCTCCGAGAATCCGCGCTTATTTCGAGGGACCCTGGAAACCTGCGGGAGCATAAATCCGTATACGAAGAATCCACAAATCAACCACTTCACCCGGGGGGACACTTCAATTTGTGGATGCCGTTTTTTCGGGGGAGAGTAGTTGAGGCTGGGTGGCTGAGTTCGTAGCCCATGGGAAATCCCTGGGTGCCGACCAAAAATGGAACGAAAAGCTGTTCTTTGGGCCTGGGCCCGATTTGGGGTAGGGCAGGGTAAAAATAGCATCTGGAGGGGCTATGTTTGGGGTGGGGGAAAGAATTATGGGTGGTTGGTGGTAGGGGGAGCGAAAAGTCAGGAGAAGCCACGTGTGTGGGTATTTGGGAAACATGAAATCAGGTGTAGGTCTTATGCGTCAACAAAAAAACCAGGTTTTACTTTTGAAATTATGAAATACCTTTTGAAACCTTTACAAATGCGATAAGCAAGTTTTGATTTTCTTAGGCACAAGGCACATCAAAGATGTAATAAGGGACTGTATGTATGGATCGTCAGCTTCTATTCAAGCTCAAAATAGTGTTAGCTAAAATTACTGTATTTAAAACGTAGAAAAACTCTTCGACTGTGTGTGGTAAGTTAGTTTCCGGCATTTTTGTTATTTTTTGAGATACTGTCACGGCCATTCGATAGAGAGTAAAAAACCCTCCACTTATCACTTTAAAGATTTTGAAAAAGACCATAAAAAGTTAAAATAAAATAGTTATGGCTAAAAAATCCAGGAAACCTGTTAGACAATAGCTTAGTGTTATAATATTGTCTATTTATTCAATGGTTTACTTTTGGATTTTCACCATGTCTACGCCATCGTCGAACTTTAAAACGTAAAACGTTAATAAGTCTGTTTCAATCTCTAGCTGTACAACCCCCTAAAAAGCTTTAGTCTAAACCACAAAATGGCACTTCTCCAACCCGGAGATGACCCTTGTCAATCGTGAAAACACTTCCTCCCTCATCCCTTCGTCGTCTCCATTGGAATGGGGGCTGTTGTTTGAAGTGTCGCGGAGGTCCCGGTGGGATCCGAAGCCGTTCCTCCCGGTGCTCCCTTTCCCTTTTCCTTACATCTGAGCCGCAGAAGCCGAAGAAGGGCCCGCCCCTTTTTCGTATTCTACGGAGACGTTACCCCCCGCTTGCTCAGTCGAGAAGAGTGAAACGCTTCCCACTTGCTGTAATTCGCTATGAATCCACCACAAGAGATGCGTCGATTTTCGCTAGAATTTCAGCACAGTCTTGATCCAATATTGCGTTATTTACGGTGGGTAAGGGGTTACTGTAGAGCATCAGGATTTTTGGAAGACTACTTTATTACTATTGGACGGCTGAAATTGGTAGAGTTGTAGGGTTGCTGATTCTATTAGGTTGGTCGGAAAGTAACTAGAACTTTTCGAGGCAGAAAATTTTAAGGAAAGAAGCATTGTTTCGCCTCGATATTTTGCTGAGTGGGAGGTCACATGTTCTAGTATTTTCGGCTAAAATATGAGCATCGTACTCCTTAAACGTGCTGGTAGAGATCAAAGAACGCCATCCGTGAATTCTGGTTTTTTTGGTTTTCGAGAGTACTGCGCCCACCGATCTGACTAACCATTTTTTCCAATGCGTCAGTTTTGTAGAGAAAAGGTTGCACTACAGACTGGTCAGCACTAGAAATCTGGCTTCAGCCTCTTTAAGTTTTCCTAGGTCGATCTAAAAAGATGTCGATATGGGTTTAGAGGCGCCAAAATCCGTATTCCCTTCTTCGCCGTTTTATTCAATCGCATGGGTAATTTTTGCCGTTGCGAC